ACCTGCGGTGATGTGCAGACAGGCGACATTGTCTCTTGGCCTCATTAAACTGACTCGCACGAAATTAACCTGAATACTCACGACCCTTTATATCCTACTGGCTAATAAATCAGTCATATATTGTTACGTTGTTCATATATTTGTGTACTACATTAGTGTTACCACTAGTTTAATGTTAGTATTCCCGATACCTTAATATAGCGTACTACTATTAAATATTTTTATTTGTATAGTAATCTTGTTAAGTTAGTGGGCTGGGCAATCTTAATATTACTGTAATGCTATTGATCTTTTATTAAAACTGTTTATTGAATTTCGCCCAAAGTTATTCGAGGGATATCTGCGCCAGCAGTCCCCAATTTTTAAGTGATAGACCGCCAACTTGTGGACTACTCTAATCGAATAATGGGCTTTGACCGTTACTCGTATAACACAACCACGGCCGAAAGCGCGAAGTGAAATTTAAAACAAATAACAACAACGGTAACGGAGCGCGAACCATTAAAGATCGTATCCACAATTCGACACGCTAAACACCTGAACTAATGTAATATTGGTTTCTTTATTTTTGTTTCATTAGCATTGTTTTATAAAATATGCTATTAAATCATTGTTAAATTGGTGCACGATTTTCATTACTGTGTTTAAACTTGATGCATTGTTCTTAATGTACTGTAGTACTTTGTTACTTTTCTTCAGTGGTCAGATATTAGGGTGATATTCAATGAAAGTTACATGGGATCTATGCCGTTTGTTTGTAACGAAGCACAAAGCTACACAATTGGCTATCTTTGCTCTGCCCACCACGGGTACCGAAACCCGGTTTCTAGCGTTGTAAGTCCGCAGACATACCGCTGTGCCACTGGTGAGCACTAGGCCATAAGACGAAAGGAATTACAGTACTTTTGAGCTATAAATACTTCACGCCAAACTAAGTTCCCATACAAGCTTTGTTTCCAAATATTTTAAAGTTACTTTATATTAAATGAGTTTTATGTAATAATTAACATGGAGATACGTTAATAACCTGGACAGTTATATAACTCATGGCATGAGGTTTCTTGGGTTCTCTATAAATTTTTAGTATAATAAACAATTCATAATTTTCATCCCACGAGACTCTCCGAACATCTCTGTACCATCCAGAGCACACTGTACTGCTACTACCGACTCAGTAGCGTGTTCTCACACGAGTCTCTCCCTACGGGTTCCCACGGTACACAAGCTGTAGAAACGGCCAGACAGCATGCCTACATGTACCAGACAGGTTTTAGTGCCGGTCTGTCACGTCTTAGAGTACCGGTTCTAAAAGAAGCCGCATATTTGTCTACCATGTTGTACACAGTCTAGTCTCTCAACTTCTAAAACCCTACCCCCCTCAGCACAAACGTACGCACACAATTAGCCTGTACAACATTTCACCCACATTTAAAACAGTTACTAATACTTGCCGTTTATCTTTGTTGAAGTCTTAAGCTCGTTGAACTACGTTATATCCAACATTGTCCAGGTTGCTGTTGTATATTTAAAACAACGATGTACCCCCTCCCCACTGCACGAGATGCACGCTCTCAAGCACTTAAGTTTCCGAGAAATAAATGTCATATAAATACCAACAGGTCATTTGCTACTATTCGAAAATAACGAAACTGGTTCTTAATTTAAAAAAGTTACGGCAGAAATATCAAAACGTTAAGGCGTATTCTGTAAACGGTTACAAATTGTAACTAAATAGAGGACTTATTTACATATGCTCAACGAAATAATTGTCTTCAAGCACGTGCTAGTTCCTAAACAATATTTTATACATATAGACACAAACACACAATTTTATCTTGAATCAGTACCGAAACGGCGCATGCGTAAATGTTTCTGAAGTTGACATCTACAAAGAATTCATAGTTTTATCAAGTTATATTTATCAAACATTTTATCAGAAAAATATTTTTTAAAAGTGACCGAATATTGGTTTAATTGAAAAATAACTAAACTTCACGATGTATGACCAATGTAAGTAATAACTTCGTGAAGATTTTCTAACGTACGCGTGACATTTATCGGCAACAATTTGTGTATATGGGTCAAAGGAATAACATGTCAACTCAAAACCCACCCACGGCTCCGGTTACTGCTTCGCATACTTCTTGTATCGTACGATCCCCCCCCCCCACAGTCTCATGAGGAGTGCATTTGGAAAACGTGGAATCATCCAAAATCTCCGCCTGTAAATCTATAACTTCTATGACGAACGTGAACGTTAGGCCTGTGTTTTATAAATTTCAATGACGAACATGAACGTTAGGCCTGTGTTTTATAAATTTCAACGACGAACGTGAACGTTAGGCCTATGTTTTACAAATGTGCACTTATACTACCCGTTTCTGCTTTAAATTTAATTAGAAATGTAAAAACAGAATTACTTTTCCAAGGCTAATTTTCAGTAATTTGCCTGGTTTTCGGTGATTCCACGTTTTTGGCTTTAGGCAGGCCCGTGCAAAGCTGGTAATAGGCCCAGGCCAGATGGGAAATGTAGGCCCCATTTCAAACTGCTAATTAAGTATTTTTGTAATCAGTGCTAAATACATTTGATTTATGTGTGGGTATATACATGTACATGTAGTTTCCATGATGTACTTACATGCAACATAAACGAATAAAAGAACTAGAACGATTTATAAAAAAGGTAATGGCAAACAATTTTATTCAAAATGTAAATAAGACAATAGAGTACAGTACTGTAATAAGAAGCAGTAAGTACAATAGCACATTCATGTTTATTCTGTATTTGGAATTTCAGATCAGAAATGGTCATCACTTTTTCACATTCAAAAATGCTTTCCGTGCTTTTATTTGGGCAAATTCATCAATTACACCAGAAAAATCAAGCAAGTAGGCCCATGCCAACTGCTCCCCCCCCCCACACACCCCTCTGTTATGGCCTGGCTTTAGGCTAACCAGTGTATCTTTGGTCCAGAAAAATGTTCAGCTATTTTCATCATTTTATTAACTAAATTTAAGTTTGTTTGCCGCTAAATATGATTAAACTGAGGGTCGTGAGTTCGAATTCCCACCACAGACCATGCTCGTCCTATATGGTTGCTGACTCGGCCAGTCACCAGAGTAGTGGTCGGCAACCTTTTTTGATCGCGGGTCAATTATATTTTTGAAAAATTTAGCATTGTGTTGTG